TAAAGCCAATGTCCTTGTTTCTTTGGATTCACTATACCTGTGGGACATGTTATGTTTTCTATGAATACAAAACTAATTGACACAGTACACTATAGGGAGTCTCAGGCTTTATATGATATCACCACCTCATAATTACCCTTTAAAAAACACGTCCTCAGTCATGAGATAAGTGATGATGACAAAAGCACACAGAAATGGCAGAAAGATTGTCCTCAGTTACAACAAAAATGTGGCAGAACTTTGTTTTACTAACATGTTCCTACCATTAGATGAGTGGTGAACTGGCCTGTGGCCTCATCAACTATCTCCTTTCATAGTTCACCACTAAATTATTATTGGTAAATTGATCACGTGACATGATAGTGTTCATCGGCAGAGACACTATCTGCCCATAGTGCCCATCTGAGTAAAATATCCAGATGGATAGTAGTACTCAACCATAAAAACTTTTCTGTCAACAACTGTGGGCTTGTAGGACAAAAAATCAAAGATTGATTGATTTGCACTCTAACCCTTTGACTGCCAACGGCGCATTTACACACCCTGAGTGGTCATCTTGGATAAGAGTTTTGATCTCATGCCTCAGCTAAAACTGGGGAATATCCGAGTGATATTTCCCAGTTTTCAAAACTGCACGTGTTGCGAAAAATATTTAAAGAATAATAAACACAGCGTCCATGTGGCGAGAAAATATGCTCGGATATTTGTCCGCGGACATTATCTGTTCCTAGAAGCGTACAGTTTTCCGAGGGCGTAGAATACAAGAATAAACTGTATCTGCAATATAGTTATCTGGTTTTCTTGGCGTCCCGACAAGCGTTTTCGGCAGTTGTTTTAGGGTACCAGAGCCATTTAAAAAAACAGCCGCAAGTTGTCTTCGAGAAAAAATTCTTAAAATATTTATAACTTGAGAATATCTGCTTTTCATGCCGTCAATGAATTGGTCGAGGCCCTAACTATAATGTTATTGCAAAGGAAAATCCACAGATAATTTTCGACTTACGCTGACAAGCCATGGACTTGACAGAATTTCGATAGTTCGAATATCGAAGTTTGGCTCGATCCGGACTCGACGGTTTTTATTTAATTACTCTCAAAAATATGAATATTAGAACAAACTAACCTTGTTTGGTTTACTTTGGCACAAAGGTCTATCAATATAGACAATATGAGCGAAATCGATTTTTTGGCTGTGTACGCGATTTTGATGATCATATCTGATTTTTACTGACACTGACTCTTAAATAGCCTTTGATAATCTTCAAATACCTGGCATTGCTAAAGATTTGGTTTGAGCAAATACTCATCTGACGAAATCACGAATCACTGCCTACAGGCAACCAGATTTACATTTCACGAATCACCACTGAAATGTCTGAAATGTTATCAGTTTCCCGAATGACACAAACATTTCGGCCAATAAGGCCCGTTCCAAACGCCGCTCCGTTCATGCGCCGAACCTAACTGATGAGTTAAGTACG